AAGTCCTTAAACACCTTGAATAAGCTGTTCATGAAAATGTAGGAACCCTGAGTTATAAAATAATAATAAAGTAGTATGTTATTTTTCCACAGGTTATGCCTTTGTACACATGGAGAACAAGGAAGATGCACTACAGGCTATTGAAGCACTGCACGGGACATCCTTCAAAGGACGACCGCTATCGGTGGAGCTCTCAAAAGTTCAGCCAAGCAAGCAGACTCCCACTGGGAAAATCCCATGTGTAAGCTGCGGTAAACAGGGTCACTATGCAGGTGAATGTCCAGCTGGTAAACCCACCCTGGAGCAGTACCAAAGCCAAGCTGCTGTGTTAGCAGCTGCCGCTGCTGCTGCTGCCGGCCTTCCACTGCAGGTACAACAGAGCGTCCACAATTCAGTCTACAACACCTCCACCTTTGACCCCACCTACGCTGCTCTGACTGGACTTACAGCTGCCGGTGCACGGGCAGAAGGTGGAGCTGCCGTGGCACCAGCAGTCTATGGAGCGCTAGCTAGTCAAGTGTACGGGACAGCGGTTGCCAATCAGCTCTACGGTGGGTCGGTTGCAAATCAAGCGCTGAACAGTAGTGCGGCTGCAGCTGCGGCGCAAGCCTATGGCTCCGTTAACCCTGCGCTGTACGGGCAGATGACCAGCGGTGCGGTCGCGGCGGCAGCAGCTGCTGCTGCTGCATATGGTCCACAGGTAGGCTTTCTGGTAGGATCACATTTTCTTGTTGCGATTAGTTGCTAAAGATTAATCTGGTCTAATACCATATATTGTGATGAAAGCTTCAGCATATTCCTTGCTGCCAATTAAGCATATGCTAAGGCTTTTACCGCGATATCACCATATATTGAATTATTAAATATTACCATATGTCTATCCACAGGTTTACACACAAGCAGTAGGAAATCCAGTTTTCCTAACTGCAGCACCAAGTATGGAGGTACCGGCTGGCGCCGCTGCCGTTAACCCAGCGTATACGGTAGCACCGGCTCTCTACAGTGCAACCCCAGCTTATGGGGCTCTGGGGGCTGCTGACCCAGCAGCTATCTTTGAGGCAGCAAGGGCGCACTACTTTGCACAAGGACAGCAAGTGCTTGCAGAACAGCAACAGGCCAGCTCAAAGTCTGGAGAGAGGGACCGGAGTCCTCTAAGAAGATCTGCGCCTCTACTGCCAGACCCCGTCATGAAACCGTTTATATATCAGCGGGCCAAGCGCAGAGCCCTGTTGCCTACACCAGCGGGCCGCGAAGAAGCCGCCGCACAGGAGGACGACCCTGTAGCCAGGTGAGTCAACTGGAATAAAACACACACATGCTGCATCCCAATTTGCTCATAAAATGAGTCCCAAAATCATATAGTATGTGTTCATTAGAAATGTACCGGATTTTCGGCCACCAAAAATGTATGGGCTGAAAATATGTTATGCCATTTAGGGCGTACTCGCACTATGCTATCTGAACCGTGCCCAGGCCTGTTTCCAGGATCTTTTGAGAAGTGTGAGTGCTCTGAATCGGGCTCAGGCACAGTTCACATGGCCGGCCTTGGCCCGGTTGAAAAAGGTGTGCTTGAGCGCGGTTCACTTGGGCTTTGGCGCGGTTCGTTTGTAGTGTGAGTGCACAACGCGCCTGAGCCCGAAACTGAAAGCGAGACGTTGACTGTTACGGGACTGCTTCATATGGATTTATTAATCATTCTTAATGTTAAGTGAATGCAAACTGTCATAGTTTATTAAAGACGCAAACCCCGCACTGCACGACAGTTGCACCTTCAGCACACCTCCTAATTCCTGCAGCACGAGGGCTTTATGATTGTTTATGAGCGTCAAAAGTGGCGGATCTGTTCGGGGAAATATTTAACTGCGTGTCACTGCATCCCAAACAACTAAAACGATATAACTAAAGAAATCTCCACTGTGCTGAGCGCACGCTCTTACTGAACAGTGCATCATCGATGACGTAAGCGTGCTCAGGCCCGAATGTAATGTGAGTGCGGGCTGTCTGGGATGACGGGAAGGGGGGCAAGCGTGCTTTGGCCTGGTTCAAGGCAACTGTACATAGTGTGAGTACGCCCTTAATGGACCCTCTAATTTTTGTGGCTTCAGTCATTGTCGGTGTACTCTTTTTAAATCTGGAAGCATTAACAACTAATTTCAAAATATATATCGCTATCATTCAATATAGAAAATAATTATCGAGATTGCATTTTTGCAGCATCACCCAGCCAAGTTCAAATGAGTATTCCAAAGGTACATGGAGGGTCTGTTTGGTCTGAAGTTTAGATCTGTGCATACTCTTGATGGCTAATATTGGCCACAATTGAATAAAAAAAACAATTTGATTAGAATTACAAACTAGCCATGGCCTGGGATAAGATTCTGATGGTATGATAACCTTGGATAGAAATATAACAGTTTCACGATATTCACGATATCACTCCTCTAAAATAAATCCTTTTTAAATGTCTGGCTTAAAAAAATACTTTTTAAACAATATATTTTATTTGAAGAACCATTTAAAATATTTTTGCAATGGTAAACATGTCAGGCTAAATTATTATAATTTATTTCACGTTTTTGTGTTATATCAGCTACAACGTAAACTTTTATAAAAACGTGTTTGGTCATTAACTTCCAAATGCATAATTATGCAAATGCCTGAGATTTCTCTGCAAGGAAGACCCATGAATGACAAGATTAACCTTTTGCTCCAATATGGTAGGAAATTAAATATGAAAAAAAAAGTGGATAGAATGATTGACAAGGCACATAACTAAGCAAAATAACAATGCTTTAGGGGCTGATCAGACCAAACGTGCTTTTTTGCATTGAGAGGCGGATGTTTTGAATAGTTTACTTTGGGGCCGATCACATAGAACTTGCTTTTTTGTTTTAAAAACACGAGGCGCACCATACTGCCTTTTTTGTTGACAATAAAATAATAAGCGGAGTGCGCTTTTTATGTCACTAGGAAATGACTAAATCAGCTGTGTATTGTGCTCGAGTGTTACTGTTGATATTAATATGATTTTAAAATGTAATAATATTGTGATATTCATAATTTGTGAGTCATATAGCATCGGGAACACTCAATACAGCAACCATTAGTCTCTCCTCTATCTTCAAAAGTATCGGTAGTTGTCTTGACAACACAAATACTGCAGGCACCTTAACGGAAACCCCGCCTCTGCTTTCATTTGATTGGAGATTAAAACAGACGAGACTGACGTAAATAGTTTTTTTTCCGTTCAGAGTTTACTTTTTTCAACTGTGAGCACATGGCACGCAACAGCTAAAATGCAAGGTGTGGCAGGCGGTTAAAGCACGAGGTTCGCAGGGCACATAAGCAGCACGCAAAATGTTCTCGGCCGTTTGTAAACCATTAAAAAAGCCAAAAAAACATGTTCACTGTGATCGGCCCCTGGTGAACCCAAGCGCCCAGCAAAAAGTAGAGGTGTGAACCTACACTGGTCTCCTGGTTTGTTTCGGTTACGATTATCATGCTATCAATTCATTTCAATTTAATATCTTGGTGAATCACAGTGCATTGACGATGTTTTCCATACACAATTTTATATTTTACTTCACAGCGCAACAGTTCTTATTAAAATATATAATTTTTAAATACTTTTAAATGTATTCGCAATACAATCTTGTCGTTCAATACAAGCGGTCAGATATATGAACTGTACCTTTAATTTAACCTGCTGAAACAAAACACTGCATCAAACAAAACTCAAGTACATACACAGAACAACATGAGCATTTATAGCAAATAAACAAATGTATCCCACTTGCTTTTTGATCGTTGTTGAGCAAGTTGTTAAACACCTATGATTGGTCACACGCTCAACAGAAAGGGCTGCGATTGGCTCTGGTGTGCTGGCGCTGTTCACCTGTTAGTAACATTGATAAATGGTAGCGGTGACGGCTGATCCATGATAGACAAAACCCGCTTTGACGATGCGCTTTTGTCTGGATCCACAAGAATCGCTACAACAGCCGAGAGGAGAGGAAACGTCACACGTCAAGAGAGAGAAATGGAGTTTACTTTCATTTTCTCCAGAAGTGACATAGGGGCTTCAGCTGTAACAGTGAAAGATTGTCTAGCAAACACACACGCAGGGAATTGTGCAAAGTTTTTGTGTTTTTATTACTCATGCTTGCCTCCCTCACTATAGTTTTCTACCGCAACATAGCGCGCATGACATAAATGATACATAACCTATAGGATCTATTACTGTACCAATATTAAATTGTCTGCATCGCGGTGCACCGAAGAAACAATTAATTTTGACACCCCTAGCAAAAAGCGTTACGTCAGTCTCATCTCATTTTCATTGTCCAATTAAATGAAAGCAGAGGCAGGGTTTCTGTTGAGGTGCCTGCAGAGTTTGTGTTGTCAAGATGACTATGGAGATGGAGGAGAGACTAGTGGTCCCTGTTTCAAGTTAGCTGTATTACTTTACAAATCTTAAATATCACAATATTATTAAACATTACAATTATAACAATATCAACAGCAGTGCTCGCGCACAATACGCTGCTGATTCAGTCATTGCCTAGCGACATAAATGGTGCCACACGTCTTTTTTTTTTCTCAACAAAAAAGAAGTGTGCTCCGCCTTGCGTTTTTGGAATGTAAAAGCACGTTCGGTAATAAGCAAGTAGTATGTTCCAAAGCTTGCATGCTCAACTTTATACATTGTTTTTCACAATAGAAGCATATACTTTTATGATGTAGTGCTAGGTGGCAAATTGGGATGCAGCAACAATAAATGATCACATTAAAATTACAAATACTGGCTGTCGTGGTACCAATTTACAGTGGTGACGTGGTGTGTGTCTGTGTGTTTGTTTGTGTGTGAAAATGTGTTTCCGTGTTTTGTTTGTTTCCCTGTCCAATGGTGTACACATGCGTCTGTTCATGCATGTCTATGTGATTTCTGTCTCTTGTCTGCGTGGATGTGCATGTGTGTTTTCCTCTCCCGTTTCCCCCAGATACTATGCGGAGTACTACCAGCAGTACCAGCAGCTGCAGCAGTATCCTCAGTACCAGTACGCGTACCCCGCTCACAGCGCACTCGCGGCCATGTCCGCGCTGCAATCTCTGCCCGGTGTGTCAGCTCAGCAGGTGGCGACGCTCGACTCGCTCAGGCCAGTGCTGCCCGCCGCCCCCGTGCCTGCCGCTGCCGCCATCGCCATGGCAACACCCCGCGTGTATGAGCCACCGCCGATTCCGCCGTCGCACAAGGAGCCCCTCCTCCGCCGCCCCGAACTCGCCCTACACACCCCTGAAACACCCTTCCGATAGTGTGCTCCACGTCCTCTCTGCCTCTCCTTTCCTTGTGCTGCAAGTGTGTGTGTGTGTGCGTGTGTCAGAAAGAATCCACAGGTGTTTGTTTATGACGTGTGTGTGTGTGTGTGCTTGGGTTTAAGACGGTGGCCGTGTCGGTTTTAACTACAGACTGGAGTCTCTAACCTTGGTTCTGATCACACACACACACCAGTCAGTCAGGGCTGAAAAGGGAAACTGCATGCTCTCATTCCTGCACACTTAACCAACATAGTAACACATCGTCTGTTTTAAAGAAACCTTCAATCCATCGCCGATTAGTTTTGAAGGTGGGGTGGGGGGGTAGGTTAGGCACCTAGCCATGATGATGCTTTGTAACTTTTTATATTCCTAAGTGTTTGTAGTCTATATAATGAATACTGGACTTGATATTTTTTTTTAAATACTGCTCGACGATAGAGTTCTATAAACTTAACCAGTTTACACGTTATTTTAGTTACGACTTCAAAAGCATAAGTTGAATGTATGTTTACTCCAAAGGTGTGTGAAGTGTAGGACCAGGGTTGGACAGTATTTTTTTACATGTCTTTTGTGTGTGTTTCTTGTTTTTCTCTGGGACTGTGGTGTAGCGTGTACGCTTTCCATTGGTTGTCCTGACAGGAACGCACACGTGTACACGTGCACAGGGAAGCAACCTCGATCCACACGCACATGCATACACATCCCTCACACGTCAGACGGGAGAAACTTTTAGTGATGACCTCTAACCCCCACCCTTCATCCCTGTCCACCCATCCCGAAAGCTGAAAGACACTGTGACTCTCTCCCCTCCTACTTTAATGTAGCTACTTCCATAGATATGGCGATTATTTGGGAAACAACCAAGCAGAGGAAGGTGTAGCTAGTCAGCTGGGATCTGTCTTATGGGAGCGTCTTCATGCTCGCCAACTTAACTGCCATGATGCATTGTAGAATCTGTTTTTTTTTTTAAACATGTCTTTTTATTAATGCTATCATGTTTTTATAAACCGTGACAAGGGACTCAAGTATCCATAGAGACGTACTTCTTTTAATTTTTTACTTTTGTTTACACCTGCAAGAGGGACGACGTGTTCTTTCTTGTGGCTTTTTCCACAGTGATTGTTTATAGCCAAACTTCTCTTTTTTTTAATATATATATCTAGAAAAACAGCCAAAATCATGAGTGGCCTACGATTCTTATGCCTTAGTAGTGAAATGTATTAAAGTTTTGCTCTATTTTGTAGTCTTACAATGTGAAACTGGAATTAAGGCTACGCGGAAGTGCTGTATATTATGTGGTGCTGTGATTTGGGATTAAATGAATTGGGAGATTCCTATCAGTTTCTTTCAGTCTTCCTGCTCATTTCGCTGCTGCAACCTCATAGATGACCCTCACTGCATTTCTCTCCATCTCTCTTTGCATCTGCCTCTCATTTAGTGACAGTATTTCATCCGTTTGTCATCATGCCCCTGTTCGCACATATGTGCTGAGGATGCCAGTGTGTGAATGTGATCTTTAGAAAAATGTGTTTGCATCGACATTCATGTCTGTTGTTTCTATCACAGTAACTTTTATTGCCGCAAGTGTTCTCGAACGAGAAGACTTAAAGATCTGTACATGATCTTTACCAACTAGAACAAGCCTTCAATTAAAGAGCCTGCCTGATTATGTTAAAGAGGAATCTCGAGAGCTTATGCTTGGAGCTTTTAGCTGTTCTTGCCTTCTGAATGTTTCATGATTGTTTTTCCTTTGTGAAACGACCAGACTCGTATGAATCGGAGCCCTGAAAAGAAGCTAAAGGACTAGAGACTGATCCCAATCTCACCCCTGTCTCTATGGATGGGGTAAGTCTGGGGGCAACCCCACTCTATCCCCCTCCCCCAGCTGCACACACCATACCAAACCCCTTCCCCGGGAGCAGCAAAATCTTCAACCCAGCTTTTGGTACTTTTTTTTTTTAACATAGTCCCCATGCAACTTCTTTAACAGGTACAATGGCTATTTCTTCACATGCTTCTATGATGCAAGCGTATTGACAAAGGTTTATGTGTTAGCATCGGGGGCATATTCTGATATTTGTAAATGATAAGGATACGAATGTAAATTCAAGTTATCTCCCAAAAGGCTTCGCTGGCTTTTGCTTCCATTGTGCATGTTTCCTTTATTTTCTTTCCAACCCCCAAAACGAACATACTTGTCTGATGTGACTGTTCCAACTGAACTAGGTCCCTATGGAACTGTGGAGACCGTGCGCAGTGCTGGTTTGGGGGGAAGAAAGTTAGCGTCGCGCAATGCACAGGAAGCCCTCTCTCACGCCATTCAGGTAAACGCACTGTGCCTCGCCCCCTTTCTACCTGTCGTCCTCCCTGATAGCGTTTGCGCCTGACCGTGTATCTGCTCTATTTCTCCTCACCACCCTACCCCTCTTGTAGATTCCTCACTTCTCGTCACAATAGCCAATGGGGTTCTCTAAAACACCAGTGTTATGCCATTATCTGCCAAAAAGGGGGGTGGCAGGGGTGACGGTCTGCTTTTGTGGTTAGTGTTCTTGGTAATGGGTGGGTGCTTGGTGCTGTGATAACTGATCTGTTGGTTTAGCTTTGGAGAGAATGTGGTGATCGTGTTTCCCAATGTAAATGAGTGAATGGCACTGTTGTGGTTGGTCAGTGAATGAAAGAGCACTTTAAATCATAAATATATATACACTAGATATCGCATAGGGACCCTGAGCATGCGTCAATAGCGCCGCCACATTGGTACAGTGCTCCTAGGACAAATGTCATTCAACCGCACTAGTCAAGACAGTGTTATTACGTGAAGATGCTGGAATTTAGCGCTGTGTACGAGTGTAGTAACGAGCAAACAAAGAAAACAAAGCACAAAGGCAGAACACTTCATAGGTACTATTAAGTTTTTTTCTGTTTTTGTATGTTCTGAGCTTTTGTGCTAATGATGATAACAGTCACTTACTGCATTCACCATAACCAACTCGCACTAAACACTCGGCTTATGCTAGTTTTGTTGAATAAAATCAGCAAACAATGCAAAATAAATACGACAATGAGATGCTGCGCTGCCAGAAACTTGTATTATTGTCGGCTAACGTTAGTGAAAGAGTCGTTCGGGGATTCATTCACAAACGAATCGCTCCCTCCGTCAGTATGAGAAGTGAAAGCAGGAGAAGAGGAGTGTTTCAGGACATGATTATATCAAATTTAAAAGGGTTGGTTGAATAGTACATTTCTGTACACACAAACACAAGCTTTTTGTCAGGAATGCGCGTGCGGTCACTGATCCATCAATGTAGAAGAGAGATGGAAAATTATAATTTTCGTAATTAGAAAAAAAAAATTACATACTAACATCCAGGAAAACTCCCGATCATAGATATATGTGTATATCTCTGGCTTTGGTTGGCCACAGTCCTCCACTTAACCTTGGTCCCGCATTCATTTCAAAGAAGCGCTACCCTGTACCAAGATGGCGGCGCTATTGACGCATTCCGTCCAATAGACAACAATAGGCCAGGCGACATCTAATGTATATATCTAAGACTTTAAATGAATGCTAACTTTACAACTCACCTAGAGTTAGTTTTGTAGTTTTTGAATTTGTTTACTTCTAGCTTAGCATAGATCATTAAATCGGATTGGACTATTGGCGTCCTGCGACCAAAGAGTTTAGATCACAGGTGTCGAAGCTAGCTCTTTGCAGCCCTGCACAGTTTAGTTCCAACCCTGCTTCAACACACTTACCTGTAGGTTTCAAACAAGCCTGAATCACTCATTTAATTTGATCAGGTGTGTTTAAGTAGGGTTTAAGCTAAACTGTGCAGAGCTGCGGGAAATCCAGGAACTGATTTTGACACCTGTGGTTTAGATAATTTTATTTATTGTAGTTACATTGCGTACTAAATAAGCCAATTTTCCGGTGCAGTATAATAACATGGCTTCTGCTGTACAGCAAAGTTCATTGATTATTATGCCCGGATGAGGATTTTCATTTTCCTTAGTACATGATAAAACAACAAAAAAGTTACAGCTTTAAATTGAAAAAATATATTAAAAAAAACTCTGAGCAAAATGCTAATGATCTAATCTGATTCAATGACCTATGCTTATCTAAGCTAAAAGTGCTCCCACCAGACAGAGATCTGCTTAAAGGTTTCAAAAATAATAAAAAATAAAGGATTAACTCTATGGGAGTTGTAAAATTAGCCTATTTTCTTTTTTTAAAGTGTACTCTTCCTTTAAATTAATGTCAAATGTAAGTAAGACCGGTTGATAAAAGGTGAGTGAGTGTCTAGGACTTGACAGATTTGGACGTTCCTTGAGGGTTCCTCCAGTACCGCCGATCTCACCTGGCCCCCCTTCCATGTGCCTTTTTGTTTGTTTATTTGATTTAACCCCTTCCCCCAGGCTTCTTCGAGTCTACTCGCCGTTAACGCCCAGCTCACCGCCGCCCTCGTCGCATCCCCAGTGCTAGTTGTTCAGTGTTAACCACTGCTTGAACGCATCCCTAAAAGCTCTGCGACTGAACCCAAGACACTACTAGCCAAAAATTATTTGCAAGACTCTCATTTGGACTCAGTGACACAAGAAACTCTTATTTTTGAGTGCTTTAATTTTTAAATTGTTATTTTTAGAAACTTTCTCATTTCCTAGATTGAGTTTCACAAAAAAAAAAAAAAAAAAAAAAAAAAAAACAAGGATAGAATAATCAATAGAGTCATTAGCCCCTTTCACACATACAGACAAAGCTTGTATATGTGGACAGGTCCTTTTTGAAAACACCGGTAAATTCATTCTGGCTATTTTCCGGAAAGAGAAGTTGTAACATTACCGGCAATTTGCTGGAATGCTGCGCTGTGTGAATGCAGAAGGAAGATTGCCGTAATAAGCGCGTGCACGTCTAGAACGGGCTGACGTGAGACGTCTGCTTTAGCCAATCACAACAGTCAGACGCATTTACGTCCGCGCGGTTTGTGAGAATAAAAGCCTTTGAATATTTTTCCAGACACATTTAGCTGCTAGAAGTTAGTCAGATCACGTTTATATGTTCTTCTTAATGCCAACTGTGTAAATAATCATCGATGAGATGCTTATGATAAGCCGTTGTTTGTTTACCTTCAAGCTTTGCGTGTGCCTGTGAAACAGCCTGTGAGCGCCTGCACATGCACATATTATGAACATCTCGACATGCGAAAGTGATCCTGCGAAAGTTGTTCACAATATTGATCATCCACAGAGTTTGTAATTTAGTCAAATGTTTACAAATACAAGCGCAGCCGTTTAAAGCTCATTTGTGGTGAATGATGTCAGAATTTACCGGTATTTTGGAATGGATGTGTGAATGCTCTTTTACGGAAAATTTCCGTAACGTCCTCACCTGTGTGAACAGCGCTTTTTTGAATTTACCGGTAAAGAAGTTCCTGAAATTTTCCAGAAATTTACCGGTATCACTGTGTGAAAGGGGCTATTGTTTACCAAAATGTTTTTGTTTGACTGAGATTAGATTCAGGGGCATGGGTTAATCTGAAAGGTGCTACCTGTTCAAATGAGAGTCTGATATGATGTTTGTGTTTGAAATGGTAAATGTAGGATAAGTAGGAGGCGCAGATTAAGTTGGCTTACCTGGTTAGATTACATACAGTGTTTCCCAATCCTGTACCTGAAGGCACAGCAACAGAACACATTGTGTATGTCTCTCTTATATGACCAATTAATCTCCAAGTTTCAGAGTCTTGTCAATTGTTTTGATGAGTTGTTTCAAATGTGTTTGACTAGGAAGAGCTTGAAAATGGGTGTGTCTCAGTCAACTACCGAAGTCGTGGATCAGTAGGTTTTGTACACTAGTAAGGGTTCTGGTAAGAACACCGATGAGCTTGGTTTCCTTAAGGCCCGTGCACACCGAGACGTTTTTTGCTCGCGTTTTCTGTCGACGTTTAACGCCTCGTAACTAAATAAAGGGCGTCAATGTGATTGTGCACACCAACGCGCAAAATGCCAGGCGCAAAAGCATCATTTAAAAAAAAAACGCCTCATGCTCATTTTTTTGTTTTGATGCGCAGCGTCAAAACCTTCTCCACCAATCAGATCGGCACTTTTGCTCACGTGCACGAAGCTGCTGAAATTAATGTAAACAGCACTTAGAGGCGCTCAAGCACAAAACTGTCAATGCGAGCGCACATTGAAAAAGATGCCCCGAAGAGATATGAACGTGGAGCTGCTTATTGCTCTGTGAACAATAATCATTTCTTCATCGCTAGAGTGCGAACTTCCTCTCCTCCTCTTCTTCAGTGTCATAAGCGGATGTCAGAAGCTTAAAGTTGTGCAGCGCCATC